TTAGGGTAGAGATTTTTGAACATTTTGTGATGATCATTAATCATAACTTTCAAATAGGCAGCATCAGCCTTTGTTATTCCTGGAGAAGTACAAATTTGAACAATATTCCAAAGTTTCAGCAAACAATGCCAGTTTTCCAGTTGCTCATCCACTTTATCACCAATCATGATTGGCAAGAACCTGAATAAACACCACATTTGAGATGCTGCAACAAAAAGACTCAGGTTAAAATAGCATTACATAGTCTACATTTGGTAGTTCAAGACAATTAGGCTGCATAAAGCAAGACATATAAATTAGTTAATACTTTCCCAATGACTGCAGTGAAAGAAAGGGTTTTAAAAGTATATGTACCTGATTGTTTAAGCTTAGCTTCAGTGACACCATTGATTGTTTCCCTGGTAATTGCAGTTGGCTTATTCTTTTTGTTCATGTATCCATAATCAAAGTTTTCCATCCTCCGATTTAACTCTTTGAGTGTGATACATCTGCTTTCATCAATCAGATACTTCAGCATCAACTTTGTTTCATAGGGTACCAAGCCTTCCAACAATATATGCATTATATCTTCAGGCATGCAAATGCAAACATCAAAATGTTGCACCTTATCCAACACACTTAATCTGTTTACCCCATAGGTTGTGGAAAGTTGTTCACGGATGTTTAATGCATTATCTTCATCTTCAATACATGCACATATTTGTCTGTGATTATCCAAATCTCTTTCTGAAAAGTCTTCAGATAAAAACTAAAACAGAAAGGCAATCCAAATGCACATTGTGTAAATTGTAAAAATGCCCTTATTGCTCAGCAAAATATCTCCCAAATTACAGTCAGGGAAAAAAGCTATTTCTTCAAATTATAGCATATTTACCTTATTGTTGGTCTCCAGTCTTGTTCCCATACAATGCCTACAAATTCGCAATGCTCCTCCAACACCTTCCTTGAAACCACTGACATAGTTGCTACCAAGTGTATCTCCAGTCCACAATAACAGATCACCTCAAAACACACGGGCAACACCATTTATGGTAAAACAGTGACCATTAGCCTAAAATATAGGAAGCTATAATGTTGGACAAATTTGCATACTAGAGGAATTTTGTCTTTTTTTTTCTTATATACATACAATACTGTAATGCATAAAGTAAAAATACCTTCGCCAAACAATTGACATCCTCAATGAATGGCATCAAAAGATTATCGATCCCAAATGACTTGATGTCTTTTGTTTTAGCAATAGCTATAAGTTGTATACTGCGGATGCTTGATCTAAACATTGGCCTTATATTGCCCAGCACAAAGTAAAAGACACCTAAAAACAAATTTTATATGTGATTGGGCAGCTAACATGCTTATGAAATAAGCTGTTCATAGATTCATAGACATAATATAAAGACACACACCAATTTTATGAATCTTTGCTTTTGAACCTAAAGGATTGGCTATTTCTAGATCATCATAATAGCCCAACAGCTGCAGGGCATCACTGTGGAGGGAGAATACTGGATGACTCTTGAAAAAATCCCCATCCATTACATCTCGAAGAACACCATCACATGAAAAATGTGGATTTTCAACTTCCTTTAAAACATCTGGGTTTTGAAGAAGTGCCTAAAATATATGATCAAAAAAATGTTTGAAAAAAATATTTGCAACAAATGGATGCATCCAGTGATTTGAATCTTGAAAAGCCAAAGTAATGGCATTTAGCACCAGAATAGTGACATCAATTTTTGCTAGTCTTTCATATAAAATATATTTTTACCTCCAAAGTCTTTAATAATGGAACTTGATAACCAAAAACTGTGACACGTTTAAGTATTTTTCTCCCTTGTCGAAAATCACTTCTCCACTGTTTTCCCATCTCAACTTCTATTGGTTCCTGCAAATCAGTTAAAAAAATATAAAGCAAGCTGACAAAGCTGGCAGCTGGTTCAGGTTTGGTAGGTTGGTAACTTACCACCAAATTGAAATGACGCTTAAAATATGATCTTTGTTGGTATTCTGAATCAACTCCGTCGAAGACACTCTCTGCTGAAAATAACTTTTCCACATCTTGGTCAAATTGCAATTCTTGACCAGGATTACTGTTTATCTTTTCGACAAGCGATTTTTTGACTATGTCCAAATACTCAGTTAGTAGATTTTTCGCTGAATCTTTGACCAAGTCCACGGCACTCTGGGTGAGCATACCTCTTGTTTTGGAACATAAAAGGAATTTGGCAGCATGGCGTTGCATTAGACTTCGTGCTTCTCCCTCGTCAAACATCTCCTGAAAATGGTTCTCATTTTCCCCATCATTTAAGTCTTCTTCCACTGTTAAAGCCTCATGCTGTCTGTAATAATGTTTTTGGAGACTGTTTATCTTTGTAAACGACCGTGGACAGCTGTTACAAAATATCTTGAAATTCGGCTCGTTTGAGTGTATTCTAACCAAGTGATAAAAAAAAGCTTACTTTGTCCGCTGCAACATACAAAATTACAGTAATCGCAGCGAAATTCAGTTGACTCGGCCATTTGTATATACTAAAAACACATTATTTCGCCTTGTGCCTTACTGCCTTTTAATACTTAGTTTATTTCCCAGTATGTTTTCAATCGATATTCGCCGAAAAATTGGAGCATTTGCAAAAGGCCTGGGAGCCATTCTATTCTCTCACGGTAATGTTACCACTGGGAATACCATATATGTTATTTAAAGTAACACGTGACCGTAAGTCTGCCAATAGGAATTCCCTATGGTGTGATGCGGGAAATTTAGACCTGCTTGTAAAAATTTGACTGATATCTTGCCCGTTCGACGTTCCAAGAAGATTACTCACAACATTTACTCCGTTTTTTAAATATAATTTCATCACAAGTATGGCTGTGTGTTTAGTAGCAATGTTCACTGAAGACCTTATTGCTCACTTGTTATCAAAAGGCATCTCAAGAGAAATTTGCGATCAACTGAAAGGTATGCCTCATGTGGTTGAACCATTGCCAAAATGCTAAAGCGTTTAAGTTTTTATGTGTGCGTTAAGCTTTCTATTTTATTATACAGTTTAATGAATACGATCTACTAACAGTTTATGATTATAATGTTTCAGAAAATGCTATTGATGGGGGTACATTGAACTTTTTGATGCAAGACATCGACGAATTCAAAGCGGTCTTACCTAAATCTGGCTATCGAATTCAACTAAAACAAAAATTGGCCTTTACTTTATCTGCGACAACAGAAAACGTAAGTTTACTTTGTTTAAACAGGATATAAATATAAACTTTGATTTAACAAGAATATTAATTTGTCGTTAATTCCTTTAGTTTGCCTAACAGGCTTTTATATAACAGTACTAATTGAAAATTATAAGCCGAGAGAAGGCACTGTCACATTGGGCAATTGAAATAATCAATTGTATTCCCATCACTAATAATGACTACTTCTCAATATTTTACATGAAAGTATTTACTATTTGTCAATAATAAAAAAATGCCTCAGCAAATTGTGATGCCACATGATGATGAACCACACACATCAGAGCTAGAACCACCAATGCCAACTGAACCACCTTTGCCAGTGGAACCACCTTTGCCAGTGGAACCACCTTTGCCAACCATGGCATGTGAAAGCAGTGTTGAAAGTGTGAAAGCAGGTGTTCAAATGAAGAAACCACTCAAGAGTCCCAAACCTATTACTAATAGTTCAGATGCCACAGCCCTACCAAACACTTCCCATTTCCTGAGAGTTTCTCTGTGCGAGTGCAGATGGCAATAAAAAATGGCTCTGTTGCCCCTGAGCGAACACAGCTGATTGCAGATGTAGGGACCTTTTATTATGGTTTGTCCAGCCACCCAAAGCAAGGTGACTACAAGAGGATTGCCATTTTAGTGTGCGAGAAATTCCCTGAGTTGAGAGATTTCAATCAAGCAAGCTATTGGGTAAGTGTCACAAGAGGGAATATTCTGTATATGTACTTAAAATATACTTGTCATGGCAATGATCCTAATCCCAAATATCATATTTTGTCTACATATATAGGTATCAATCCAGAAACAATTGTCGCAATTCTTCAGAAACCTTCGGCGGCGGACAGTTAACAAAGCGATGCATGGACAACCCCATGGCCATGCAAATGAAAGTGCATCAAAGAAAATAAAACTGACTGCAGAGGATGATGAGCAAGCTCAAAAAAGAAATATGGAGCTTTTGAAAAAAGCAAAACCTGGTGCAATGGCTCCTAAGACATTTGCAAAACTCTTTGTCGACACATTTAATGAGCGGAGGAAATTTATCGAAAATCAAGCTACATCTTCTACAGAGGTCTTGGAGGAATGTCCATATCTTGGTCATCCAAATGTTGTAAGTATCTTCACATGATGTCTTGTGCAGTCATGTATACACATGTAGTTTTTAGGGTATAATATTAAAACAATGGGTAACCCTATTGAAGCAATGGCAACTTGTTTCAAACACCTGCAAAATGTCTTTGATTATCTTAATTAGGTAAGAAAAGAAGTTAGCAGAATCATTGGGCAGAAAAATTGGGAAAAAGAGGCTGAAAAGAAGTTGGAGACTGCATTGAAAGCTGTCATACAAATTAAGGATAAGGAATGTGAAATGAGAAGTGAACAGGTTGTGGAGGCTGTGGAGTAAATTGAGAGAAAGACAAAAAGGAACAAAGGAACAACAACAAGTGTTCTAAAATTCAAAGATGTATGTATTTGTCAATTGCACCTTGCACACTCTGGTAGATAGCTGAGTGGCAAATCAATGATCTTAATCTTTAGGTTTACTCTCAATGCTGGAATTGTAATTAACTGTTTTAATTTTATTTTACAGCCTGCATCCACCATGAGACCAGAAACCTTGTTCAAAGACAAGAATGTCGAGTTTCGCTTGGTTGTGATTGGGTCTCCTGAGGAGGTCAACCAAGTTTTTGTGGCAGGTGAAGACCAGTCATTTATTGAGAGTGAAGGTATACTCCAAGGTTTGATCGACCTGCTTTGTTGTTACTATGCATATCACGTCTCCTACCCTGAAAGTATGGAAGGATGCTTGCTTTTCCTACAAGACATTCTTTTGCCAACAAATGATGGCAACTACAGAGGAACAAAATTTTCCTCATTTATGGCAAAGGTGCACCAAGGAATTAAGGACAATTCTGATTAGAACAATTTATACATGCCTGGACATTCATGCTTATATTATATGCATGCCATATATTTAAGGCAAATTATTATTAAGGCAAATTTTCCATATGACTTTTAAATATTTGTTGTGAATATATGTAAGTGTTTTCTTGTATGATAATGTTTTCTATTTTTAATACATATTTCACTGTTTATGGACAAACTGTTCTGACTATTCATTCTATTTAGATAATTGCCCTAGGCAATTTGATCTTGTGTGTTGGGTAGCACACCTTAGTGTGTTCCAAAACACACCTTGCACCACCTAGCAGTATGTGTCTTGGAACACACCAAAGTTGTGTAGGAAAACACACCAAAGTTGTGTAGGAAAACACCACAGTGTGTTTCAAAACACACCTTAGTGTGTACTAAAGCACACCTTTTGCAAAACACACCTTATGGTGTGTCAAATTCTGGACAAGCAAGAAACACACCTTAAGGTGTGTTTTGGGACACACCTGCGTGTGTAAGAAAACACACCTTAACCTGTGTTATATTCTGGACAAAAAAGGTGTGTTATTTGAACACACCTTTTTTTAGAGTGTGAATACGTACAATCCAGAAAGTCAGTTTATACAAGACCTTCGAGAGAAAGGTGAGTGTACTGTCTGACGCTTTTGAAATACTATCTTTATTTGTGTTTAGAATCTTAACAATCACGACTGCCGTAGAACATTCTAAATCTACTGAATTAATTGAAACGTATAGATTGTGATGTAACCCAACCACTGTCAGTTGTTAACCATATATAGAATGCATATCTCTTGCTGTTCTGATCCACCTAAAATAGCGTGATATAGCTATGACGCCTGTCTATGGAGTTATATTTCATTCAAACCCGTTCACAATTTGTAAGTTACGACCTTTTCCAAAACAGTAAATTGATTGCGGCTGGAAAACCTTTCATCAACATTTCTCATCAACACATAACAAACCCTAAATTCACTTCATAAAATTCTGAATGATTTTGTCAGGATTTAAATTTTAAACGTTTTCCTTTTTTTCAGAAGTCCCTGGTATGAAGGGAGTAGTATCGTCATCTAAAGGATTACACACCAAACTACGTCAAGCTGCTCAACGGAAAAATGGAGTAACAAAAGAACGCAAACAGTTGATTAAAATGGGAAATAAGCTGAGAGCTGAATGTTGAAATATAAAGGTATTTGAAGGGATATTTTGGAATATCTATTAAGATGGCATTAATATATATACGTTAGTCGAAATAAATTACTGTAAGAATGAATTGAATACATTTTTCCTATAATCATGATGCGTAGCTTCTGTTGTTCGCAAAAGACTAACTGCATGTGCAAAGAATCCCGCGATGATTACGTCACTACCGCATGTAGGGTAGTGACACGTGACCGGGCTCCAGAACACCGCGGAATAACGTCTGGGCAAACGCCGGTCGGTTATAAGCATATGGCGAAAAACTTCAATTGGAACTGTTGAAAGAAAACATGCAAGTTAATTGATAAGATATAAGTTAAACTTGTACTTGAAAATGTACCGAAAACGGGTGGACTAAACATTCGTTTAATGCGTCCTTTGATTGAAATATGAAATAAAATTGTTTTGCAGAGCGTCTTTAAACCATTTTTGATAAATTGTTAAGAACAAAAGTTTAAACCTATATAATAGAAGTTGAGAAAAACTACAATTATTGAGAACACGAAAATTTCTTGTTTCTCCGCAGCGTGGCGGCTTTGGTATAATGAGAGATGCTGAAATAAGTAATCTCGTGGTAAAATCGATTAGTGTACCGCTGCCACCGTTTTGATTTTAGAATGTTATTCTATCGTTATATATTAGGAGGGAAAAAATCGCCTTCAATTGAGGCACGTCAATCGTCCAAAGATCCGCAGAATGTGGCGCAAACATCCCGATCCCAACTACGGGGTTTGGAACAGTTGCAATATGAACTAACAAGCAAAGAACTGCATGCAGTATGCACAGAGAACACTAGCGAGGAATAATGATCAGCATTCGCTATCTCCTCGCAAAAAAATTCCGCGTCGGCCCAAAACTTCAAAAACACTCTTCAAACACGGAACTCGCAGAAAAAGCAGGCCTACCGGAATCGTCTACTGTTCGTGACGAAATCGTCTCGCCATGGCAACCTTCGTTCTCATCAGACGACCGCGCGTCGTTACAAGATGTCTGGAAACTACTAGACGAGGACAGTTCTGGATTAACCCATCGCGGGGACGAAGTCAGCATGTCTCAGCTTCGGGAAAGTTTCTCAACTACGGACAGTTTCACGGTCAAAGGTCAGCCTAGTCACGTGCATCTCAAGCCAGAGTGTTCCAAGGCTGCGCTGTCTGTCAAGGCAGCTGGGAAATGGACACTCTCCCAGGTAAAAGCGAAGATAAGAGATTATAATATATAAGACGAAGATGTTCGCGAGGGATTGTAGATATTTTATTTACCTATAATATTTGTTTTTAACAAGACCGGTCATTCATGGCAGTAGGAGGCTGTGTTGGGAATTTGTGTGTTTAACCCTCACTTCCAATCTGTCCTTAATTATCCAATTTTCTTACTTACTATTGATCCCCATGCAGTAATAATTTATACCCATGACGTTTGCATGCATTATAATAATCATTCTATTTCCGCATAAAATCCAACACCCCCCCCCCCCCTATTATAATAAAAAAGTATTAGAATATAAAAGTTGTGCCTCGTTCATTGTTCACCGTCCCAATAAATGTTAACTTGATTGAATTCTAATTTTAACGCAACTGTTCGAAATAATGTTAAAATCTAAAGCACTAAGTTCTATACTGTCTTTCTTGTGCGACCAGATCTAATGATCTTGATCCCCTTACAAAAACTAACTATAGTTTCGACAAAATAACTATAGTTTTTTGCCTTAAAACTTTAGTTCTTCTGAACAACTATAGTTTCAGACGAAAACACTATAGTTATTCGTGACACTATAGTTTCCAAATACAGAAACTACAGTTTTTCGAAACTATAGTTTTGTTCCAAACTATACTTTAACTATAGTTGTTTTAAAAACTATAGTTTTCAACAAATAGTAGCCGCTGGAAACTATAGTTATAATTGAAACTAAATTTGAACTATAGTTTTTTTAAAGACCTATAGTTTACAACAAATGGTTACTAATAAAACTATAGTTATTCTAGAGAAACTATAGCTGCACTTTTTTATTTGCATAATCTGTAGTCAAGAAAAAGTGATTTGCGATACATATATATCTATATATAGATTTCGATTACCAATATTTAATTTTTAATTTAATTTAAATTTAATTTAAAAAATTTCTATTGCGCGTGTTACATAGATAGATGCTCACTCGCGCATTACATAGTATCGTAAAAATTTGCTGGTAAAATTTAAATATACACTAATTTACAAAACGTCATACAATAAATCTAGATCAGAACTAGATAAAAGTTGTTCTGGTCATAACATGGAGGAAAATGCTTTTATAAAAAAATGGGTTTTAAGCATTTTCTTAAACGTAGAAATATTACATGCATTACGAATTTCAGCCGGGAGGCTGTTCCACAACGTAGGTGCTGCTACTTCAAACGATCGGTCTCCCAGCGTCTTTAATGTTTTTGTTCTCGGTATATCAAGCAACAATGCAGTTGATGATCGTAAATTATATCTGGTTGCAACCTTCAATTTAATGAGTTCAGAGATGTATTCAGGAGCAAATCCGTTAATGGCCTTATAAGTGATGAGTAATATTTTAAAGTTAATTCTGTATCTAACAGGAAGCCAATGTAATTTATACAGCACAGGGGTGATGTGATCAAACCGATTAATATCACAGATCAGTCTTGCTGCGGAGTTCTGTACTCGTTGAAGCTTGCATATCTGGTTGGCGGGCAGACCATACAGGAGGCTGTTACAGTAGTCCAATCGACTCGTAATGAAAGCGTTAACAAGAATTTGTGTCGTATCAAAACTGAGAAACTTCCTGATACGTCTAATATTACATAGATGGAAAAATGCTGCTCTGCAGGATTTATTGATGTGCACATCCATTTTCAGCTGCGTATCGAACCAGGAACCAAGATTCTTTACCACACAAGATGATTGATCATCTCATTCCCAATGCGCAGTGAATCTACACTAACTTTTGCCAACTGTTGCTTTGTTCCAATGATGATAAACTCTGTTTTGTCATCGTTCAGTTTCAGTTTATCTGCCAGCATCCATTTCCTGATGTCCATAATGCAATCTTGCATTGCCTTAATGGCAGCAGACTCTTCAACCATGGATCCAGGTTTAAATGAAATGTATAATTGCGAGTCATCTGCAAATGCATGGGCATCAGGTAGATGGTTTTCAATGATGGTGAACAGTTTGCTTGCATAGATGACAAACAAACAAGGACCAAGACAAGACCCTTGCGGAACACCATACCTCATTTCAAATGATCTAGATTCACAACCGTTGATACAAATACGTTGAGATCTTTTCTCAAGATATGATTTAAACCAATCTAGTACACGACCTGTAATTCCAAAACTAGAGTAGAGTCGATCCAATAGGATGGTATGGTCAACAGTATCGAATGCTGCACTCAGATCAAGTAGCACCAAAAGAGTTACATGT